TATAAATAATATTTTCACCTAAATTTATGATTTTATTTAAATAAAAAAAATTAAATTATCAAATAAATCAAAAATCCTAGTCAAATGTTAAATCTCTTGCCATGTAAGCATGACAGGGCAATATTTTGCCATCCAAGCAGCCAAGCGGGGCGTGTGCTCAACGGCAGTTAAGTCAGGCGAGCAATCCCAAACGGCAGTTAAATTGGCGTAAGAAGAAGGGCTTAATTGTTTTGATCCCAGAGTTCAAGGGCTTAACTGCATCAATTAAAGTCTAGGGGCTTAATAGCGATTCTGGTGTTAGTTCAGGGGCTTAACTTATGGTTTTGCCCTTCTTTTATAGCATTTTCTCGAAGTAGACCAAACTATTACTGACTTTAGACACCGGAGTGTTTACCCGAGTAACCACCTCGGGGCTCTGCGGGCTCTGCAATCTGGACGAAGGAAGACGCAGTGGTTTGTAGCAATTACATCACCGGAAGCAATTACATCACCGGAAGCAGTTTATTACTGTATCTTCTTCAACGAAGGATGCCACGCCAGATCCGTTACTGAGGTAATTCATATGTTTTCGCTGCATAGCTAATCTCAAACCTCACCATTCGTTAATAATCGTTGCTTCTGATTCTCTGGTTAGGTCTTGGATTTCTTCGGGGTAGGCCCGACGAAAGGTCTCACTGATTCTCAGGTAGGCAATAGGCATTTGTTTGTTTTCTCGCTAGAATCGCTGTTTTCGTCCTGTATTTGTGTACTGACTTAGACTGAAGTTATTCTAGCTATGTATCAAAATGGTTTAATTTGTTTTTCCATATTTTCAGGTTATACAGCGTGCTAGGCATTTTGGAAAAAGTGGTAATGTAATGCGGAAAAATTATTTTTCATGTTTTTCACCACATTTGCACATGGTTTTCTTACAGTTATGAATGTGGTTTTGGTTGTCAACTTTTAACATCTTCTACTTCAAGAAAAGCAGATGTTGATGCAAATTACATCTTCATGTCAATAAGTTAATTCTGTTGCAGTCGCTTAATGAGCAAACATTTTTAGTGAAATTTGATATACATTCTTTTTCTGTTTCTCTTCTAATAACTTTTTTTCCTTTTTTTGCCTTTTTTTGGTTGCATGCTTGTTTTATGGTATCCGGTGCTGCCTGAAGAAAAAAGTAAGTATCTGGCATCTGTGCTCTTGACTCACATTTTTAGTTAATTTTTTGAAAATGCTTTAACAAATATATCTTTGCATATTGTCAATTATTCCTTTTATTTTTATTTTTATTTTATTTTAGTTCTGCATGCACTCTTCATAAGATAATGTTCTTAATCCCTAATGTCTTAATGTTGCTGTGCGCTAAAATCCTGAATATAAAATGGAGTAGTTGTCATTATAGGCTTATTGAGATCTGAGAGCCCATAGTATTATATATCCTTTATTGCTGTTTAGGACAGTATGGATGTAACGGGGGCTAATAGTTCTTGTATTTCCATAAGTTGAGTCTGTTGAAAGAGCCATATTGTGGTTGCTTTGGAATCAGTAAATTATGTAGGTGGTTACTGTCCAATTTATTGGCATAGATTGTGCTTTATATGATTCTTTCATGCTTTTATTGGTGCATAAACCATTTGTGCAATGGTGATGTTATGTTGTGCAAAACCTTACATACTTCATTCAATCACTGAATGCAGGAACTCCCTTCTGGAAACTGGTTTTGAAACAATTTGATGATTTACTTGTGAAGATATTGATTGCTGCTGCTTTTATTTCTCTTATTTTGGCACTGATTAGTGGTGAAACTGGCTTAACAGCATTCTTGGAGCCTTCTGTAAGACAAGTCTTCTTATTTTTTTATTTTCTTTGGATATTTGTATTTTTTCTTAATATCATTTGCCAAAAGAGGCATACCAATGTTTTATTCTCAAGTCTCCACGGTTCAACTACATCCTATTTTAATTCATCTGTAGGTCATCCTAAATGATATTGGCTGCTAGTGCAGCAGGAGTAATTACAGAGACAAATGCTGAGATGGCTCTTGAGGTAAGCTTCATGGTCTCAACTTGAGGCACTTATGAAAAATTGTTTGGTGAGCATGGTTTGTTAAACATGCAAAAGGCTGGTTGCCCTGAAGCCTGCTTGGTATTCAAAAGAAAAGAGGACCAGAATTAAAGAAGTATGAAAAGGGAAGGAAATGAGTCAGAATAATGTATAAAGGGTGAAATACCAGTGAGTTCTTAATCAGAAGCCTGAAAAATTATATGCATTAAGGAGGAAAGCTAGGAACTCAAGCTCCTTAAGAACTAGAGTTAAGTTCAACTATTGCGTGATCTTTCTCTTCAAACTATCCATTTCTATAAGCTCTGGAGGTAACAGGGTGGGACCATTCTTTAGGCAATAGCCACAATACAACTCTTTCTCTCATCATTAGTATTTCAACTTGACAACATAGCAATCATTGGTCTTGGCTACAACCCACCTCACGGACCAAAAAGACAATAGGTCTGAAAACCTCCTCTTCTGTAGGATAATGTTTGCAGATGACATAATGCATTTCTGATCAAACTATTTGACCATTTATGACCTACTTGAGATTCGTTTTATGTTTTTGTTTATTTGCATTCTATTTCAGGAGCTACATGCATATCAAGCTGATGTTGCAACTGTGCTTCGAAATGGTAACTCAAGCAACGTTATAATCACATAAAATGCTTCTTTTGTTTGTTTATGATTGTATGATATTGATACCCTGATGGTTATCTTCTTAATCTTAGATGATTAGCTTCCCCATTAGGAGGTTTTTTTTTTAGGATGAATCAATGGCTTGCCTTAGTTTGTTTCCAATTGTATATCATGATCAGGTTTTAAAGTATTTTCTTCAGAGCTATCTGCTCTGACTTGCTTACCTGTCAAATGTCAATCATGAAAAGTTGGTTCAATTTATTAATTTTATTGTTAATATAGTTTGCCCACATCTTTTCTTAGTTTCCCTCTTTTTCTCTTTGTTTTTATGGTTAGGCCTCTTATTTTACAGTTTCCATGAAATTCATTATTAGTTTAATCAGACTAGAGAATGGAGATTGTTTGGCTTCTATGTGATTATTGTATTAATTTTTTTGGAAACTTTCTAAAATATTTCTAGGATGTTAATAGTTTAATTAGTATGTTAATATGCAGGTCTTTTGACCCTTTATCACTTCTTGTTGCTTCTAATCACTGCTAATAAATTTTGCAGGTTGCTTTTCAATTCTTCCAGCAACAGATCTGGTCCCAGGAGATATAGTAGAAGTTGTTGGTAAGCTGATGATTAGCTGTTTAGTGTAAAATTAGTTTTTCTTATTACATGTTTTGGTAAGCTCAAAAGAGTTTCCATTTTTCTAAATCTTCTGTAAATTGGCCATTGGGATGCAAGATTCCAGCTGATATGGGAATGATTGAGATGCTAAGTGATCAGTTATGTGTTGACCAAGCAATTCTTACAGGTATACATGACTCTGTCAGTGTACTCTTGATTGTATTTGTCTTATAAGTTGTCTTGTTTGGTATGTGTTCACTTTTGTTGTAGCCTTTTTACTATACTGAATTGTTTTACTGTGTTTGTACCTTTTTTACATTACTTGATGAGTTTTACTAATTATAATATGAGAAATTTGGAGAACTGCAGTTGGGTTATGGGTTTGGCTATTTGTGCTGATATTACAATATCTATGGAGTTTTCAGATTCTCAATTTAATCAATTTTTACTCCTTTTTTTTTTTTTTTTTAAATAAATCTGAGCTTGTCTGCAAATTTGTAGAACGTTGATTTAAATCATTATTTTGGAAGTCCTTATGGTGGATTTAGAATTTTTTGCATGAATAGAGCAACTACCTTTTGATTATTATTTTTGTTCATTTATGCTTGGCAAAATTGGAAACTTTGACCTGATTAACTTTAATCATTGATGCCCTTTACTTTATCTCAAAGGCCAAGGGGTTCCTCTGTTGATTGCTTTCTTCTTTGGCTCATTTTTGTTTGTTACACACTCAAGCATTCTTTATTGTTGTGAATTATATTTCAATTTCAACCGTATGTTTGCTTATAAATTTGTTAACTTGTGCCCTTAATGATTGACTGCATAATATTCAATCACATGCACAATCCAATTCAGTACAAGATTTTGTTTGATGATAGGTGAGAGCTGCTCTGTGGACAAAGAGATTGAGTCCACTAAAGCCACAAATGCTGTTTACCAAGACAAGATAAATATTCTTTTCGCGGTAAAATTTTTAAATCTCATGCTATTTAGTATGGCAGGATACTTATCATGCATATAAAAATCTGAAATTCTTGAATTTATTGCATTATTTTTCAGGTATCTTTTATAACTAGTTATCATTGAAAATTAAGTTTGAGTAAAATTGGTGCATAATAAGCCTGTTATCTGGCTTGTTACTGGTTTCAAACATTCTTAAAAGCTTTTGCTTTATACAGTTATTAATATCAATTATATTCTGACATTTTTTGACTGGCAGGGTACTGTTGTTGTTGCTGGCAGGGTGAGGGCTATTGTTGCTGGAGTTGGTTCTAAAACTGCTATGGGCAGCATACGTGATTCTATGTTGAGGACAGATGATGTGAGTTGGTGGATATCAAGAATTCTTTGTTTTCTTCCTACCTTTTCTATTGATATCAATTTCTCTTAGAAGCCTGCTTTAAAAACTTCAAATTCATTCACGAAATTGATAGACTGAGTCAAATTATATGACAAGTTTTCTGGTGAAAGAAACAATTTAGAATAGATAATAGCTGTCTAATCTTCATACCTCTATGTGCTATGCATTTATATATGGTCAGTTTATGTTTGTTCTACTCATCCTTATCTACAATTGGCTGCAGGAAGCGACACCTTTGAAAAAGAAACTGGATGAGTTTGGTACCTTTTTGGCCAAGGTGAATGCCAGATCAACTGTAATTTTTAGTTACATATTTTTCTATTAGTGACAAGCTTATGATCATCATTTACTACACCTTTACTTAAAATGCAACCATATAAATCAAATGGATAGGGAAAAGTTCTCATGAATCCGGAGATCATGTTTATTCAGTCTCTTTGTTTTATTATGGGTGTCTTTAGTACTCTGGTTTGGCTGATTCTATCAGCCTATAGCTCTTTTTTCCTTAAATAGTTGGTTAAGGTGTTAGAAAACATCAGCCTATTGGCTGATTTTAAACTGATATCAGCTGTTCTATTAGCTGTTCTATCAGCTGTTCTATCAGTTGTAACAGCAAACCAAACAAAGCATATATATTTTTCAAGATGATTCTAGGGCTAGGCTTAAATATCTGTCATGATGATACAATGAATCTATGCTATTATTCTAGACAAATTGAACTCACACACTATGAAGTTGTTGGGGAGTTGAAATCTGTTGGGGCTTTAAATGCTCCTTTTGTATAGTGGCTTTGATTTTATGAGTACTCAAACCACTCCTATATACATGCTTCATGATATTAATAGGCTATCTCCGCTTCATCTAATCAACTATAGTTTTTCTGTTTGAAAATAACAAAATGTGTTCATTTTGTGGCTTTACATGATTAGATTGTCATGTTCATGCTTTCCACTGTTATTACACTTGTCACAGGTTCACATCCTGTTTCATCTTCTTGTATTGATATTGTGACATGATGTATTTGCCATTTATGGACATTTCTTCTGCCTTTAGGTTATTGCAGGAATTTGTGTACTTGTGTGGACTGTAAATATTGGTAATTTTCGTGACCCTTCTCATGGTGGCTTCTTGCGTGGTGTAATTCATTACTTTAAGGTATGCTTTGTGGATTTACTCATTTGCTTTCAATTGGTGGCACTGTGAAGTATATGAATTCTGTGTTATGTACTCTATTGATGTCAGTCTATGTATCTCAATTGGCATCTATTTTGCATTTATTTGTCTCCATCTGTATTCAGTACTTGCATGTTCCTTTCAATTAAAGAAACCTGCCAGTCTGTCTATAAATTTCTTACTCCTAAGTCCTAACCCTCATCCAGTACATTGAATTACCAGAACGAAACCTGTGCAGCTGTGCTTCACTGGCTTACCCATGCGTGAGAAAATATATATATATATATTTTAACTTTGAACTACTTTTTCTGTTTTTCAATAGATTGCAGTTGCTCTTGCTGTTGCAGCAATTCCAGAATGCCTTCCTGCTGTTGTTACAACGTGAGTGTTTTGAAATTTATTGGGTTTATACACTATGATTGCTTAGTCCTGACAAATAACTGATATGGTAAATGTTGGAGATGCAAACGTTGTGGCTAAGACAACTGCCATAAAAACAAATGAAAAGTGACATGGAAATTAGAGTGCGATATGTGTAGCAAGATTTGTATTAGTATGTTGAAGATGACTAAAATTTAGATTTTCTGATCTTGTATGACTACAAATACCAGAAGTCATTTAAGAATAAAAAATATACATTATGTTTTGTTTATAAGCATATCTCAATAATGGTACCAAATCATGTCTTAGAAGCTACACCAAACTGGATTTGATATATTGACATGGTCTCTTCTTCTTCTTTTCTGTTTTTTTTTTTTTGGGCTACTTCTAGGTTTTACTCTTCTGTCTCTATTTAAGCATTGACTGCCCTAAGATATTTGCATTTTACTTGAGAGTAGATTGTAACCTGTTGAGGGTAAAATCTCTTCGTGTTAGAGACTAAATAGTCTTCATGCTATATTAGTTGACTTATTTTTCACCAAAACGAGGTAGGGACACCTAAACTGGGGCGGAGGGATTTTATTTTTTTGAGAGCACCTATTATCAGATACAAAGCTAACTCACTTTTATTGGAATTTTTTCATTTCTAGGTGTTTGGCCCTTGGAACAAAGTGAATGGCTCGGTTGAATGCCATTGTTCGATCATTGCCATCTGTCAAGACTTTAGGTTGCACCACAGTGATTTGCAGTGACAAGACTGGAACTCTGACGACAAACATGATGTCTGTTTCAAAGGTTTTAGGCTTGGTCTTAAAGTTCTAGATGCTGGGCATTGTTATGTGTTTTTCATTTGAAACTGAGGATTTTTGCAATAGCTAGTAATTTGGTGAATAACTTTTGATAGGTTGACCTTTCCAGTGTGCTTGTGAATGAATTAACTTGACATTCTGTAACCTATAACTTTTAACCTCAATTTATCTTATATATATCATAGATTCAAAATGATATATCTTGCTTTTTTGTCCCTTCCTTTCTCAGATTTGTGTGTTTAATTCTACACAACATGGTCCTCTAGTTGCTGAGTATGGTGTTACTGGGACAACATATGCACCGGATGGCATTATTTTTGACAGCAGTGGGATACAGGTAATTACCTTTTTAGATGATTGGTGATGTGGATTACACATGTTGTAAAGAGTTTACCTAAAGGGGGTGCCTTGTTAAAAGTTGTGGTGAGGGTGAATGCTTGTACTTAATAATAACAAAAAGGCATTGCATTTTACTGCAACTTCCTCCTGAAATAGAGATATATCTACAAGGAGAAAAAGACAAAAAGGAGATACAGTTAAAGGATTGCAAAGGAATGAAGTTAATCTTTCCATATATGAGATATAAGTTGTTGTGCTGCACACTAAAATTTGGACCACATGCATTTTCAGTATGTAGAGATTAATGAAAGATTACTTTCCCAATGGTTCCATTGTGCTTTTGAACCACTTGGGATACTCCACTCCGCATTTTATCTACATGACATTTCATTGTTTTGCAGCTTGAATTTCCTGCTCAGTTGCTTTGTCTTCTTCACATAGCAATGTGTTCAGCTCTATGGAATGAGTCTGTCCTACAGTATATAACCCAGATAAGGGGAACTATGAAAAAATTGGCCAGTCAACTGATGTGGCCCTCCGTGTGTTGGCAGAAAAGGTTTGTGTAACTTGGCTGCTTGACAAGCCACATCCAGGTCTTTTTGCTTGCAGACTGCATAGGCTTTCTTTTCCATGCAACTTATGTCTTGTTTTAACTCTCACTTAACCAAAAGGGAGCATGTCATGTTACAGCTAATTATTCTTTTATCTCCTTTTCTTCTCCCTCCTCCTCCTCCTCTCTTTTTTTGTTCATTGATATTATTCAATTTTTGGTCAAGACTAAGTTATCTCACTGTATTCACCCAGGTTGGTCTTCCTGGCTTTGATTCTATGCCATCTGCTCTGAACATGTTGAGTAAGCATGATCGAGCTTCTGACTGTAACCACTAATGGGAAAGTCAATTTAAAAAGGTTTGGATCAATACATGGTTCTTTTTTTCCTTTTTTCCTTTTTTTGAACTTTCTTTTTTTTGTTGGTGGATTGAACATCAATGTGTCTTTTCTTGAATATGATAGATTTTCTCGTATAAAAGCTTTGAAGGGCAGGCAATATGGGGTGTTTAACATTAACATATTATCTCTCTCTGTCATTGTGTATGTAGCTCTGTAATATTCTTCTGTCTTTATTTTGATTATTCCTTATAAATTTTTCTGCAAAATGGTTACTCATTTCTGTTTAACATTGGATTCATTATAGGTCTGTGTTCTGTCTCAGAAAGTATTCCCTTGTCCGAGTTTCTTCATTTAACAAGCTTGATAATTTCATGCTTTGCAGGTTTCTGTTTCGGATTTTTCTTGTGATTGTAAGATGATGAGTGTCCTTTGTAGCTGTGGGCAGATGGGGATAATGTTTTCAAAAGGTGCTCCGGAGAGTATCATCTCCAGGTGCACAAATGTCCTCTGCGATGATGATGGCTCCACTGTTCCGTTGACTGCTAACATCAGAGTGGAAGTGGAGTCCAGTTTCCACAGGTTAGACTTATCTTTTCTATAACCAGCATATCAACTCTCACTCTCTTCTACTTTTTCTGTATACACATTTTGTGATACAAGTAATGGTTGCTGGGTAACAATGTTACAGTGAACCGCTACCATTGAGGTGTTGGGAGATGGGTTTGGGCTTTTCATTTGAGGCTATAACTGTCAACTGTTAAAATTCATTAGGCAGGGGCTCATAAGTTGTAATGGAATATGGATCTCTGCATGGGTCCTATTTGGGTCCCCTGGTCTAAATGCTGACATGGTCTTTAATTTCCTTGGAGGGTGAAATGTTGATGTTCTATTCAATTAGTTGGGGATGTAGGAGTCTCATAGGTACCTCGACTCTGTTGCAGACTGGCATTTATGTTTGGTAGTAAACAGCTAAATCTCCTCAAGAACCTTTACAGTTCACTTTGACCTCACTTTTGAAACTTCTGTTAATGGTTTTTTGGGTAAGATGTGAGAAGGGCAGCTCACTAGCTAGGCCCAAAACCATGCCAAAGAGAATTTGATTTTACGCCAGGGTGCAGGAATAACCTACAGTTAGCTCTACCTGGTAATTATTTTAGAAAAACATAAAGTGAACCAAACTAAACAATGAACATAGGGTGCAGGAATTCTGGAAATCAGCACTCTGCCCCTGAACATTAAAATACACTCAACTCATAAAAGGGAACCATAAATTGCTGAAATCAAGATTATGCATTAAAGAATAATGGATTTTTCAGTGGCAGCATCACTTGTGCTTCTTATTTGTTTTGTTGGCCTAGTTTCTTTCTTGATATAGATTATGTTTTGATTTTTGAGGGATTATTTCAATCATTTTGAAATCTTTTAAATCAATTTGGATTGTGTCACATTTCATCCAGCCAATTCATTTGTTTTGTTGTTTTCCCCTGGGTCATGATCTTTCATTTATTGGTCAGTTTTGCAAGGAAAGAAACATTGAGATGCCTGGCTCTGGCCATAAAGATAATGCCCTTGGGTCAAAAGACTATAGCCTTTGAGGATTAGAAAGACCTTACATTTATTGGGTTGGTATGCCTTCTTTTCAATAGGGGATCTTACACGTATTGAGCCTATACAATCTCTGAGTCAACAATCTTTATGAAGCTTATCTTGTGACTTAGGTTTCTTCTATTGTTCATTATATTTTAATAGGTTGGAATGCTTGATCTGCCAAGAGAGCAGGTGAGAAATGCTATGCTTGCTTGCATGACTGCTGGTATACGTGTTATAGTTGTTATAGGTGATAACAAGGTAACTTGAATTAGTCATGATGTTGCTCATCTTTCTTACTTTAGACTTGTTTTCCTAATATGAGAGAAAACTTCAGTCTACAGCTGAATCACTTTGCTGTAAGATTGGTGCTTTCGATCACTTGATGGATTTTGTTGGTCATTCTTATACTGCTTCTGAGTTTAAAGAGCTTCCAGCTTTACAACAAACACTGGCATTGCAACATATGGCACTGTTCACCAGGTATGATGGATGCAAATTTTGCAGTTCACAAAGGGCTTGGTTATTGTCAGTCTTTTTGTTGAGGCCACACAAATAATACAGTAAGTGTATTTGATTTGACTGATTTTATCAGTCAATAGCTGTTTTAAAAGAAATAGTTATTTATAGCATTTAAAAATATCAGTTTATAAGCGAATTTCATTATGTTAAATAATAAAGATCAACTGCTTTACAAATTAACAACTATAACTATCAACTGTTTTTAACAAGCAAATAAAAATTGCGTGGCCCTAACAAAACATTGTGTGGCAATAACCCTGCCTTATCTGTCATCTATTAATTATTTATTGATAGTTGCTTTCATCTTTTCATTCCTTTTTTACTATTATTTTTATACAAATTGATGCTATTGATATATAAGTTATCTCCATCTAGGGTTGAGCCTTCTCATAAAAGGATGCTGGTTGAGGCCTTACAAAACCAGAATGAGGTGGTACTAATCTTAAACTTTTACCTCTTTGGTGATATATTTGAAATTTCATATACATTTCTCATCAATGGTCTTAGTTTGAGCTATGATTATCACAATTCACATTGGTGAAGTTTGAGATCTAAACCAAAAACAGAACAAAAACTTCAATGTTTACAAAATACAAACCCACATCCAAACTGGGAGGAATGAATAAGAACTCTATTCAGTTTGTTTGTTGTTTCCTAATGTTTGGTTGTTATATATTTTGCATAGCAAAGGGAAATTTGAAGCTTAGAGAGGGTGGAAGCTTGCAGAATGGTTTTCTATTCATCTATATTACTTGTCAATTACAAATAGTCTTCAAAGAAGTTTGTTTTCTTTAGAGCTTTACTTAATTAAAAGGCGTTGTATTGATTGAAGTAATTTACACTGAGAAGACAGAATCAAAAAGAATTGTAGGATGTAGTGCAAAAGGAAATGGTGATGGATCTCTACTATTTTGCTTTATCCTTATATATAAGAATCCCTTTTGACAATAAGGCTGCTGACTGGTTAACCAGCTTTTTTTCTGCTTAAATGACCATCTTTTCTTATTTGGATTATGGTGATCTCTGATCTGTAATGTTAACCTGAGTTTCTACAGATATGTTTCTTATATACGTGGGCTGTGGCATGATTTGATTTGCTTATCATTCATTTTTATAATAATATCTGCACTTTGCTGTTACTTCTGTGATAATATAGTGGAAATAATGCTTCTTTTTTAGGTTGCCATGACTGGTGATGGTGTCAATGATGCACCTGCATTGAAGAAAGCAGACATTGGAATAGCAATGGGATCTGGAACAGCAGTTGCAAAGGTAGAACTGAAGGGTTCTCTCCTTATCCTGCAGTAGGAAAATAGTCAGCTGTTCATTTTCACCATTCCATGAACCAGTGGGAAAATAGTCAGCTGTTTAAACCAGGGATTGTTGTGCTTTGAGCTCCACATCTCTCTCTAAAAGGCATAGACTATTTTTAACTAGTGAACCTTTTACCAATTTGTTGCATGTCTATCCTTGTAAAGTGTCTTTTCACTCTTGTTTTCTATTATGTGATGAAATTTTGCAGTGCTCAATTATGAAACATGGTGGTTGTGAAGTCACCAAAAAACAACCTAATGAAACCCAAGAAATTAGTTTTAGCGCCTCAGTTTAACTTCTTAGTTTCACTTGCAGTGTATTGCCTAGAGGCTGTCCTTGCATGGTGTTTTTTCTGTTTTCCCTTTTTCACCTATAGTTACCTTATCATTCTTAAGTTTCCTTGCAACTCAAATGTCGTAGGTGATGGTCCTTGATTGATTGTCATTGCATTTTGTTGAATGTATCCATGTCCATCATGTATCCTTTGTTTCACAGAGTGCTTCAGATGTGGTTTTAGCTGATGACAATTTTGCTACAATTGTCGGGGTATTTATTTTGTTGTTACTTCCTAATTGTTATCAGTGACATTCCACTTTTCTTGATTTATTTTATTCTTAATTTCTCTTTGAATTGTTATAAGTCTTGGTGTGTCTCTATCTCAAATTTGGGCAGGCTGTTGCAGAAGGAAGGGCTGTATACAACAATACAAAGCAATTCATCAGATATATGATCTCTTCAAATATTGGTGAAGTAGTATGTTTTTTTGTGGCAGCTGTACTAGGAATACCTGTTACCCTTGCTTCTGTAAGTACAGTTTGCTAGAAGAACTGTTGTTCCATTTAGCTGCAGACTTTTTTTTGTGAGTAGGAAGGCAGTGGAGGACTGCTTTTGTTTCATTACATTTTAGATATCTTCATTGATTGAAATAAATAAATAAGTAAATATTAAAAAAGGGCACTTTTTCATATTTAGATGCAGAAAACCTGTCAATTCGGAGAAACTTTAAACTTTGCATGCCATCTTCTTGACCATCTGCTTAGTCCATAATCCGGAATTTTTAATTTCTGAACTTCTCTGGTTTTCTGAATTTTTTATTTATACATTGTTAACTACATCAGGTCCAGCTGCTATGGGTCAACTTAGTGACTGATGGATTACCTGCCACTGCTATCAGGTTTAATAAGCAAGATTCTGATGTAATGAAGGCCAAACCTCAAAAGGTACTATTGCAATATGTGGAAAATGTTTTATATAGCTGTAACGTTCTTCATTAGTTTTGTGCACTCTTTTGTCCAGCTGTCTTTAGATTTATTTTTGAATGAAAAGGGGGCAAAAGGTGGCTTTAAACCTTTTACTAATTTAGTTTGGAACTATTGTGATCTAGTTTGGAATTTTCTTATTTTAATGGCTATTTAACAGAGAATAAGCATGTTTTTTTTTCCTTATGTATTCTACTTCTCTGATGTAAAACTGTTGTCCAAATTTATTTCCTAAACCTACAACAATGGACCTATTACCATGCTTTTGGTGATGCTGAACTAAAGATGAAAAGTTGTTACAGTTAAATATTAACTTGAAATTGAGTTGGCAAGGATGCAAAATGAGGCTGATGAATGATTCACTCGTGGTGCAATGACTAATGATGTTGAACAGAAGTATTTATGTTGATATAAATTCTTAGGAGCTCATTTCAAACCAAAATTGGCTGGGGGTCAAGGTCCCTAACATTGCGCATTATTTCAGTTTTTAGATTTATATTCTACATTGGTCAAAAGGCTGTGCGGATAAAAGAGTTCTCAATTGTATCATGTGTGCAGGTTGGAGAAGCAGTGGTGACTGGTTGATTGTTCTTTCGTTATTTTGTTATTGGAGGTACCCATAAATGTTACACCATAATGTTGTAATAATAGCTGCTTAATCATCTGCACTTTTTTATTAAATTGAGGATCTTCTGTTTATTAGTTCATATTTTGCTGTTTCTACTTTTGTGGTTTTCTGGTTTAATAAACAGTCAGCACTGATCTAGTGGATAAATTCACTAGAAATTACTCCATATGTGAACTAATATATTTAATGAAATTCATAGTGGTTTTTCTGTTTGTCTAATTATGACTTCATACTGTGCAAATTTCGCAAGGAAAAAAATTACGAGTAATCTAGATAGAACATAGCCAATTTCATTTTTTCTTTTAAGGTTTCATCTTAAGCAATGTCACAAGTTATGATTGAAAGCCTTCTTTTAGTGCTAAAAATCTTGATATACAGAGAATTCCTTGTTCAGCAGTTCTACTTGAGTCACTAGTTTGGTTCAAACTGAAGATTTTCTCTCTTGATGGTATGCAACTTCCAATTTGGCGAGACATGTTTTCTGGTTGATGCAGCTTACCACTGTTGCTGGGTTCATATGGTGGTTTGTTTACCCTGAAAGTGGTCCCAAACTACCATTTACTGAATTGGTAAGTTATTATAGCACAAGATGTTGCATGATTCAGATTTCCATTAATCATCTTAAAAAAAAAAAAAAATTCTTGTTACTTTTGGATAGCTCTGCAATTCTGCTGTAAGCTGATAGACTATTTTCTTTTTCCTTCATGAGATGGGCTTGGTTGGGGACTGTCAAGGATGTTCAGTTTATCTCCCAATTTTGTGGTTGTGATAATTTTTTGTGGGATTTCTGAAACAACTATGCTTCTGTTTATTCTTAAGCATTCCACCCTCTTCGATTGCCTTCCAAGTTGTCAGTGCTTTAGTCAAACCCTTTTTCTTGGTATTGGTCATCAAACAATAGTCAATCCCCTTTTTTTCCCTCAAACAATAGATCTAGTCAAACCTAGGAGCACGTTTGGAGGGATGGATAAAACGTCGGATAGCACACAAAATTTGTCTTGTCCCATTGTATCCCACGTTTGGGATGCCTAGAGGATGGGATTCTTCGTATCCCATTGTTTACACCATAAATTGCAAAATTTTAAATTAATGTCACATGTAAAATTTTTATTGGCTGGAGGAGTTTGAGCCATGTCAGATTCGGATTCTGGGCTCCATGACAGATCAGCACATGTGGTGGCAAGATAGGAAAGGTAAAGATAATGTTTTATGGAGTAATTATCTTCTTGAAACAGAAAGAGATAATGGCAGCTGGAAAATAGGGGAGGATCACAATTAAAAAGGGGATTTTATCTGATAAAGTACAGGTAGCGAAATATGAAAGGGGATTAGACTAGATAAAAAGGTGAGGTGTCCCACTACTCCAACAAACTACCCATGGTTGAGTAACTGCCGGCACAAGAAGAATAAAAAGGAAACTTTGGCAAGAGGAACACACGGCCAGCCCTACTCAAACATCAGCAAATTTTCATACTTTGATTTTCTCTGCACATGCTTCCAGATTTCGGTTTTTAGCACAGATTTCGTATTCCAGTACAGATTCCATTAGAATTAGGTTGTTTTTCATCATTCCAGTAGACAAATTAATTCCTATATTCAGTTAAACAATTTCCTTTTATGCAATGAACTTCAATCCTTCAAGTTTATGCAAGGTATTGTTTTCTTTTCATTTGTAATTGATTTAATGTTTATGTTAAGTAGCATTGCTTCAATGATTACTTATGTGGCTTTCATGCTTCTTTCTAATTTCAAGTTCTTCAATTTCTTCACTGTTCAGGTTTAAATTTTAGTGTTAATTTAGGAGTAAATTTCCAGTTCTGCAGCAATTTAAGTTCTGAATCTGTCAATAGATTGCATTTTAATTTTACAATGAGCATGTTTAGTTTAATTTGGGCACAGCTTTTTCTCGCAAATTTACTTTAAATTGCAGGTAATTTAGAGTAATTAGGATTTGTTAATTTTAAGTCACGGTAGTGTTTTAAGTCCTTGGAGTTGTCCAAGGCAGATTTCGTAACCCATTCTGCAGGAAGGTATCCCTCCCTCTTGCAAAT